TTTAATAATACTAGCGCCTCAGACGGCCTTCGGCCGTCTTCGTTGTTTCTATTCCTTCTTCATTTTTGTTCAATTTTTAATAATGTTCAGTTTTTTAATTTAATAATTTTTTATATAAAACCAGAGCCCTCGTCGACCGCTTGGCGGTCGACTTTGTTGCTACTTTATTCTTAATTCTATTTTAATTTTTAATTAAATTCTATTTTATATTTTTAATTATTATATTTTTATTATTTGATATCCTTCTTTTTTTTATTTATGATTTTACTTTATTTATAAATAAAATAATTTTATTTATAAATTTTTCTTGAGATAAACCAGACAAACCCAAGACAGCTCCATCTATTTCGTTTACATTTAGAGTGTGAGGTGCGCTTTCTATGTTCTTTTTTATTCTCTATGCTTATTTCTTGCTTCGATACTTTTCGAGTTCGACTTTTTTCAATTCGAGCTTTTTCTGCTTTGCATTTTTTTAGAAAGGAAATAACAATTTTTTGTAATATTTTATAAAATAAAAGTATTTCAGATGAAATTTTAAACCTATTTTCATAAAACTCGTTACTCGGGGGTTTTTGGTGTCGCTGAATACGAATCAAGCATCAGATTTATAAAATTCAAAATGGCGGATCCAAAATGGCGGACGCGAAAACTAAAAATGAACTGAATTTGCTTGAAACTGGTTACTCAGGGGTTTTTGGGGTCTCTGAATACGAATCTGGCATCAGATTATCAAAATTCAAAATGGCGGATCCAATATGGCGGACGCGAGGATTAAAAATAAACTGAATTTGCTTGAAACTGGTTACTCAGGGGTTTTTGGGGTCGCTGAATACGAATCTGGCATCAGAGTTTTAAAATTGAAAATGGCGGATCCGATATGGCGGACGCGAAAATAAAAAATGAATAGAATTTGCTTAGAACTCGTTTTTTGGGGGTTTTTGGGGTCGCTGAATACGAATCTGGCATGAGTATTAATAAATTTATTAATAAACTTAGAAGATTCAAAACGTTCGGATAAAATTAAAGAGTAAAATCAAAAGTGAATGAATCCTGACAATCCACAGTCAGATAACTCGTTTAACGTAAAATCCTCTTCATAGTATTTCTGTCTATAAAAAAAAGAATTAATTTTTGGATACTGAATATAATGTACCATTTTTGACAATCCAATTGAACAAACTGTAGATATTAGTAAAGAATTGCTAACCGATAAGTAACTGAAAATGTCAAACTTAATGCAGGATGTGATGTAAAAAACACATACAATAATACTGCTTCTACTCAACAATATACCTTCTTTCAACGAAAAAGCTATATTAACCTGTTTAGAGAATCGTTAGTAATAGTTTCTCGAATTTCGTTTGTTTGAATGAAGTTGATACTTACCTTTGGAGGGATTTGTTCGTGTTAGTCTGTCGTTTGTCATTTGTTTGTTTGAAGTCGGTACTTACCTGTGGAGATAATCGTTCGTGTAAGTCTGTTGATTGTGATTTGTCCGATTGTAGCCAATACTCACCTGTGGAGGAAATCGTTTGTGTTAATTGTGTCGATTGTCATTTGTTTGATTAAAGTCGGTACTTATCTGTGGAGAGAATCGTTCGTGTAAGTCTGTCGTTTGTCATTTGTTTGTTTGTCCGCCATATTGGATCCGCCATTTTGAATTTTGAAAATCTGATGCCAGATTCGTATTCAGCAACCCCAAAAACCCCCGAGTAACGAGTTCCAAGCAAATTCTGTTAATTTTTTATTTTCGCGTCCGCCATTATGGATCCGTCATTTTGAATTTTGAAAATCTGATGCCAGATTCGTATTCAGCGACCCCAAAAACCCTCGAGTAACGAGTTCCAACCAAATTCTGTTCATTTTTTATTTTCGCGTCCGCCATATTGGATCCGCCATTATGAATTTTGAAAATCTGATTCCAGATTCGTATTCAGCGACCCCAAAAACCCTCGAGTAACGAGTTCCTAGCAAATTCTGTTCATTTTTTATTTTCGCGTCCGCCATATTGGATCCGCCATTTTGAATTTTGAAAATCTAATGCCAGATTCGTATTCAGCGACCTCAAAAACCCCCGAGTAACCAGTTTCAATAGATTTCAATGAAATGAAAAATGTATGACTAAAAGGGTTATTTAACTTAAAGTCGCATTGGTATGGGGTTTTTTAGATGTTCTACTATATCGACCTTTGTAATAGATTCCTATAAAAAAGTTGGTAATTGACCGGATGATGGTAATGTAGATTTCTAATTCACTATGTGCGCCAGTGTTCTAGGATACCGACTGCAAGACCTATGAGAACTTTCAAGTTATCGCGGCAGCCGGCGCTTACTATACGATGTGATGAGGTAGGAGTGGTGTTGCGCGCGACTATGGAGTAGTGGGGCGCGTCGTAGTGGGGTGTCAGGTATGGTGGGGACCAGTGTTTAAGTTCGAGAGCGCGAGCCACAATCATCAGTAGCATCTTTTCAGATGCAACTAACAGTTTACAGAGTACCTCCAGATATATTTTCAGAATTTTTTTTAGTTTTGTTTCAGATTTTTTTTTAGTTTTGTTTCAGGAATATTTTTTTGTTTTGTTTCAGGATTTTTTTTTATTTGTTTCAGAATTTTTTTTTTATTTGTTTCAGTTTTTTTTTGATTTGTTTCAGGATTTTTTTTTTAATTTGTTTCAGGAGTTTTTTTTAAATTTTTGTTTCAGAGTTTTTTTTTATTTGTTTCAGGAATTAGATTTGTTTCAGGAATTCTTTAGACTTAACTTCTAAGATGCCAAAGGTTAAATCACCGAAAAAATCGCGATCAAAAATTAAGATTGACGAGTACAATGAAGTTTGTCAAGAAAGTGACAACTTCATTAAAATCGCGGAAAATCAGCTCATTACCACAATGTCCATGTCTGGTGATGAGAAATGCATTACAGCAAATGAATGGCAAAACAAGTGTCAGAAGTTTAAAAATATATTTAGAAATTTTTTTTAAAAAATCTGATTTTACAACCTCTTAAAAATCAAGGTGTTTGAATTTGATCCAGAAATTGGAATACTTGTTTTGCCACTTTGATGCAATAATGAAACGTGGTGCGGGTGTACAAATGACTAACGAAAGAATGAAATGGGTTAATTTCGATGAAGCATTTGATAGTCGATTGCAAACTAGTGGGATAATGAATATAGATTACATAGATATTAATGAGTTCCTTGATGATGCATGTGCTTTATTTAAATTTAATATTGAAAAAGCTTTAAACAAGTATGGTCCGTTGAAAGTATATACCGTGTTGGGGGCGAAATTTAAGAAAGATTTAATGAATGGGAAAGAGGATCAATCAGAATTAAAAACATTTATCGCGAAAACAAGTGAAATTTTGTTGACAATTTTGTTGTTGAGTGGTACAATGTTAATGTCAAACAACCAACTTTAAAAAGGATTGAAGAATTCCAAGAGAAAGACTCTAATTGGAAACTTGATTCCATTCAAAGGTTGGAGGTTAACATTAACACGTTCAATCCCATGCGTGCAGGTTCTTATATTGATTTACCCCTTGCTATAAAAAGGAAACAAGCTTGTGTCAACGTTCAGAACACAGATAATAAATGTTTTCAATGGTCAATACTATCAGCTTTGTATGAACCAACAAGGGATTCAAATCGCATTTCAAAGTACATCCAATATGAGAATGAACTAAATTTCACAGGAATTGAGTTCCCTGTTTCTCTCAAAGATATTTCAGAATTTGAGGCTCTAAATAATATCTCAATCAACGTGTACGGACTTTCAAGGAAAAATAAGAATTTTAATGTCTACCCATTACATCTTACCTCGCAGAAAAAGGTTTGCCACTTAAACCTTTTGCAAATTGAAGACCATTACATAGATGAGGATGATGATAATGATGATGATGATGATGAATTACCTATCATCTCTTTCAACTACCACTATGTCTGGATAAAGGATTTATCTAGACTTGTTGGCTCACAATTGTCGAAGAAAAAAAATAAAAAGTACATCTGTGACCGTTGTCTTCATTACTTTGGAGATGAATTAAAACTCACAGAACATGAAGAAACATGCAGAACAATGAATGATACGAGAATTAGGCTACCACAACAAGGTAAAAATTCTGTTGAATTCAAAAATTTTCAAAACAAGGAACGTGTACCTTTCATTATTTATGCTGACTGTGAGAGCCTTTTGATTCCTGCTGAAAAACCACAAGAACCAAGCAATACCGAGGTCTTTCAAAATCATAAATTGCTTAGTATTGGATACTATTTGAAATGTGGTTTTAATGACTCGTTGTCTTCATACAAAGCGTCTCCAAAAGATGAAGAAAATCCCGCCCAATGGTTTTCTAAAGAGTTGAAAAACTTGCAAGAAAATCTAGAGCCTATATTCGCTGAGAATCAAGATTTAATAAAAATGGCGAAAGGTATAAAAGCTGGAGTTGTTAAAAAAGACATTAATTTTGATGATTATGTGTATTGCCTTCAAAATGTAAAAATTCAATCTAGAACACAGTACTCAATCAGGTCCAATCTGCACAAAGTGCAAACTTCAAAACAAACAAAAGTTGCTCTCAGTCCGTATGATGACAAAAGGTTTTTGTTAAAAAATAATACTGACACCCTTGCATGGGGACATTGTAAAATTGCCGAAATTATGGAAGATGATGATAAGGTATTGTAAAAAAAAATTGTTGGGAGAGAGAATTTGTTATTTTAATAAATAAAACCTGTTATATATTTTATTTTATGTCTTCTTCTTTATTCAATAAAACCTTAATCTAGTTACATTATTTTAACTTATTTTAACGTTATTTTAACTTGTTTTAAAATTATTTTAACTTTACTTTAACTTATTTTAACGTTACTTCAACGTTAGTTTAACTTTTTTTAACGTTACTTTAACATTACTTTAACTTATTTTAACTTTACTTCAACATTACTTTAACTTTGCTTTAACGTTAATTCAACTTTATTTAAACATTAGTTTAACTATATTACATGTCAGATTTTTTAATCCAACTATTGTGAGATTTATCAAATCCAAGCCATTTCACGTAGACATCATTACCACGAGTCTTGAAAACTTTCTCTACTAGGTAAACATCTGGATGTTTGACTTTCAGCAGTTCTTTCTCATAGAAACCACCTTCGATGGGCTGATTTTGGTAATCTAAAAGTTTGTATGTTACTGGTTTTGTCGATTTAACTTTATCCACAGTGAATATTTCCGTTGTCCAGTTGGGAGTATATCCTTTTTCAAAGATATTTTTAAACTTGCTAACCCGAACTCTATCTCCAACTTTAAATTTTGATCTTCTCAGCGGAATTTTTCGTAGTTTACGGATACGTCTCAGCAGTTCTCTTGTATCTTCTACGGTAACATCTTTGGGTTTCATACCAATAGTACGATGCTTCTTATTATTGTACTTTGATATGAGCGTAGGTAAAAGATTTATCCATTTGTAATTGCCCTGTAAGCTGAATTCAGGCCACATCATATTTTTCATAAATAATGAAATAATGTGCGATTAAATCTTTCAACAATTGATGCTTTCAAGTTACTGAAAGTTGAATAGAGATTAATATTAAATTCATGCATTAAACTCTTAAATTCAGAATTGTAAAATTCTTTGCCTCTATCAGTATGCAGATTTTTTGGAATTCTGCCTTGTTTTAGAATAGTTTTCATGGCTAGAGAAATATCCTTTCCATTCTTACTCTTTACAGCTACAGCCCAGGCATATTTGGAAAATATGTCTATAACTGTGAGCATGTATTTGAAACCTTTATTAGAATAAGAATAGGGTATCATTTCAACCAAATCTGCTTGCCAGGTTTCATCGATTCCACGCATTTGAACTTTTCGACGAGGATAATTTTTTCTAGCCTGTCTATGCAACTCTTTAACAACAGTTAACTTTTCATCGTCCATTTTCAAGGTTTGTTAAACGTGAATCCAATTTAGCGATATATTTAGCGTTTTGAAGAGGTAATTCGTGTTGTAAATCAGTTTCAATCTGCTTAAGTTTTTCGTTAATTCTTTCCTCGATAGATTGTATAAGAATATTCAAGTCATCAATAGCTGATCTTGAAGATGATGTAACTGCAAAGACAGTTTTTATTTCGTTTTTAACAATTTGTTTTACTTGTCTTAAATTTATTGCGTCGTGTTGCTCTTCAGCGTCTTGCACGTTGCAAAGTCTTTTGTTATCAATATCGTATTGTCCACTTGAAGTAATTTTAAAACCAATTCCAGAAGGTCCAGGTTGTCCACGACTTGCAGTAGGTCGTGACAAAGGATGTCCAAACACATCAATGCTCATTTTAATACTAAGCTTTATTTGCTTGTACTCTTCTAATATATAATGCGAGCTTCACGTAGTTCTTCAATAATTGACATAATTTCATTATTGTGGCTCGGATTTCCAGCTTGCTGCGATGCTACTAGCAGACGTAATCGGTCAACTAGTTCATTGGGATCATCCCAATAAATGTAGTCTGGGTTAAATTGTTTCTTTGCAATCATAAATTGAGGTAATTTATTTCCAAGCTTCTTCTTACTCTTTATAACACCACTACCCTTTTTTGGTGTACTCTTAAAAAGTTTTGCAATGATATCAATGCATTTAGAACTCCTGTTTATGTTGACAGATTCACTGGTACTATAATTTTTTCGGTGTGCATTTGTAGTTACAAGAATTTCTTTATAATTTTCCAAATCATCTGAACTTATTAACGCATGATTGGGTTCTTGTCTAAATAAAAGTTCAAGCAACCCAGCAGTTTTTAAATATTTTTTCTTTCCAGCAAGTTGAATATGTGAACCTTCTAAATCAACTGGTGTATCACCAATTATAAAAGAACCATTTGGAAGCTTACGTACTCCATAAACCATGTCTAAATATTTTTTTCTGTTTTTATTCAATAATTGAATAAATTTATTTGTCAAATTTCCATAATTAAGTTCTTCGTCTTCAAAGTTGTTGTTGCTTTTATCAAGTAGAGTGTCATTAAGTAGTGTCTTATCAAATTCCTCCTCCTCATCAACAGCAGTTGAGAAAGAAAAATCATTTTCCTCCTTTTTAACTTTTTCTTTTTTAATATTTTTGAAAGGTATGTCAGTTACTTTAACCAACTTTTCAAGAGGTGCTACTATTGGTTGGAGAGTTTCTTTTAATACTGTTTCTGCAGCCTCTTTACCCATTTTGAGTAAACGATGTTTTCTCCTAATAGCATCACTTGCTTTTGCTATTTGACGAAGTGTTTCTTGCTCTTTTCGATACATGTTTTCTTTGTAACAAGATAAACTATACTAATTAAAAATTCAGTAAACTTCTAGTATTTATAGTGTAATAAAACAATCAAATCCTCTTCTATATCTTCCCTCATTAAAATTACGGTCTTTATCAGTAACAACAAAACCATATTTATCAGATTTCCAACATTCTGAACATAAATCGCGGAATTGAGTATAACTCATATCTGTATTAACATGATCTTCATATACATGTTTTAGATTCTTTTCATCTTGGCTAAATAAAACCAATAAATTAACATTATCTCGAACTAGATGTTTAGAAATACGAGCATACGTTTGACATAAATAAAAACTGTCAACGTTTACATGTCTACCCATACAAAAGAAAGCTCTAACATTATCTTGCTTTTCACAAGCAATGTTTAAAAAACAAAAATTGAATTTGCTTTAGCATCTTTTGGAGATACTACTTCTTCATGTTCACTGAATGGGAAATACTCAACACCATCTACATTTTTTATTACATTTTCTAAAAATTTATATTTCGGTTGTTGTAGAGATTTAGAGTAGTGGTAAATATTTTCAAAACTTAGACCATTTGGATTTATTATTAGGGAAAGAAGAGCATTTGTTTTACCACAATTTGAGGGGCTACAGAAAACTGCTCGAATGCTGTCTGAAAACAGACTACCGTGACGTTTAATCTTTTTTTCATTAGTTTCAACATCTATACTAGAGATTGGCAGTGCGACAGGTTGTTCCGTGAACTGCATCTTGACAGTAACTGCCATAAAAGCTATAAAAGCTATAAATACCAAGCTTTTATATTCGTTTCGTCAGTCTCACACCAACCTTTGTAGAGTGAAGAATGATTCTGCATAAGGATGTGAAAAAAGGTCGCTGTCAAGGAAAAGGTTTAATTAATCGTATTATCAATAGTTTACCGTTCGAGTTACATTTGCCAGGTTACCAATTTTGTGGCTCTGGTACAAAGTTGGCAAAGCGTTTGTCTCGTGGCGATCAAGGAATTAATCCGTTAGACGCTGCTTGTAAACAACACTATATTGCATATTCACAAAATCGTGAAAATATTCAAGCTAGAAACGAGGCAGATAAAGTATTAGCTAAGAAAGCTTGGCAACGTGTTAAAGCTAGTGATTCTAGTTTAGGTGAAAGAGCAGCTGCTTTAGCTATTTCTGGAACCATGAAAACTAAATCAAAATTAGGTATGGGGATGAAAAGAAGAAGAAAAAGAAAGTCATCTGTAAGAAAGAAAAAAAGGAAAACAATGTGTAAGAAGAAACGGATAGCATTAAGGAAAATTGTTGACGCTGCGCGAAAAAGCATGATTCCTAGTAATAATGCTGAAGAAACAATTCGAGCAGCTATGATTGGTGCACGAAAAGCAATAAAAAATGTTGGTGGTAAATCCAAAGTTTTATCACCTAGAATTCTTCCTGTACCTACAAAAGTAGGTGGAATATTACCGCTAGTTCTAATTTTTGCTGGACTTAGTGCTTTAGGTGCTCTTGCTGGAGGAGCTTCAGGAATATCAAGGGCTGTTAATAAGGCTAAAACAGCTAGTAAACAGCTTTCAGAAGCTCATCGTCACAATAAAGCAATGGAAGCTATATCGCTTGGAAAAGGATTACACCTTAAACCTTATCGACAAGAACTTGGTCTCCACTTGAAACCCTACATTAAAGGAAAAGGAATTAAAAAACGAGCATCAAGAAAGAAGAAGCGAACAACAAGAAAGAAAAAAAACTTGCAGTGAAGCTACCTCACCGTCCATTAACTGATTTTGATCTGATAAGATATGCTAAAGCTGTCAAAATACCTCGTTTTCGTGGTGTTTTTTTGCGAAATGAACTACCTATCAGCGTTCCTCATCTATATGAATCAGGAATAATTAATCTTGATAATAAAGAAGGTTCAGGAACACATTAGGTATCATATAAAAAATGTAATAATGAAACCATGTATTTTGACAGTTTCGGCAACCTTGCTACACCAACAGATGGTAGCTTAATAAAATATAATCATGAAATACATCAAAATTATGATACATATGTGTGTGGACACTTGTGTCTTAAATTTTTATGTAATCAACTTTAACCTATATAAAAGTGTGTTACTATTGTAAGCTTTCAGTATAAAATCTGATAGCAAGATGAGTGATTCATTTACTTTAACGTTAACGGGAAATTCTTCAGTTCTTGAAGCTGAATATTTCCCTCCAATAAAACTAGATTCAAATAGAAGTTATGTACTTGGTCTTGTTGAATTGTTGACTTTTAATTCAATTCCCAATATTGATAAAGGAAATAACAAGTTTTACGTTGGAAATCAAGTAATTGATATTCCAACTGGAAGTTATAAAATTAAAGACATTGAATCCTATATACAAAATTCTATAGAAATTGGAACTGTCATTAGTATAAAACCAAATAACAATACGTTGCGCAGTGTAGTTAAATCAAATTTACCAATTAATTTTAAACCTATTGACTCGATTGGCAAATTATTAGGATTTACATCGCAGCATCTAGCACCTCACAGAGCACATACTTCTGATTTACCTGTAGCTATTTTAAAGGTCAATTTATTTAGAATTGAGTGTAATATTACATCTGGAGCTTACATAAATAACCAAAAAGTCCACACTATCCATGAATTTTTTCCTAGAGTTCCACCAGGATATAAGATTATGGAAGTGCCTGCACACGTCATTTATCTTCCGATTGCCACAAAGACAATACATAATATACAGCTGCGAATTGTTGATCAGGACAGTGATTTAATAAATTTTAGAGGAGAAACTATAACGATTCGATTGCATATAAAGTCATTGTAATGGGAATTGTTTATAATCAAAAAGCTGTTGTTGGTGGAAACTATAAAAGTCAGCCAACATGCAAGAGTCAGATCAGTCTAAAAGAATCTCACAAGGTGTTAACATCTCAGAATCGTCGCTTTCTTCAAGAACTAGGACTAAGAGTTATAAAGAGTTATAAAAGATAGATTATTAATAATATAATATAATAGATATTAATAGATAAATAATAAAAAAAAATAATAATAATAATAATAATAATAATAATAGATAATAGATTTTTATAGATTATTAAGAGTTACTAAGAGTTATTAGTTTTCCTCAAGGAAAACGGCAACAGGACAATTAATGTATATATTTTTTGGGTGCTGTTGCAATAAAAATGGACGAACTTCTCAACATTCCAGCAGCAGTAAATTTTGATGAGTCCATAGCTCATTATGAAATTCATGCTCATCAACCATATGCATCTTCATCTTTCAATAATAGTGATGAAATTCGAATTGCAGTACAACATCAAGATTTATGCATTTTACCGAGTAAAAGTTCATTACACATTTTTGGTAGATTAGCTAAAAATGATGGAATTACTCTTACAGAAAATGTACATTTAAGCAATAATGCTGTATGTTTTTTGTTTGACGAAATTCGCTATGAATTAAATGGAATTGAAATAGATCGATGCAAATACGTTGGACATACTACAATTATAAAAAATTATGTCTCACAAACACCTACTCAGCTAAACTTTATTGAAAATGCTGGATATTCAAGAATGACAGCTGATGCAAGACTTGTATTGGAAAATGGCTATTTTGATGTCACAATACCACTTAGCATGATTTTTGGTTTTGCTGAAGATTATAAAAACAAGTTGTTCATTTCATGATCATTAAGCTTCCTCAATATAATATATACCAATTGTTTAATTTTTTATTTTAGAATAATTATTCTAAAGTGTTAAGATAAAATGTCAAAAAATACAAAATTTCAATTTTTTGTGAAAATTTAAAATATTTATTAATTCTATAAATTTTGATAAAATATATACTTTATATACATGAATCGATTCGTTTTTATGTCAGGAATGCAATTTTGACAAGAATTAATAAAAATTTCAATATAGAAAAAAGTTACTTCAAAAAATCCAAAAATTATTTTTTCAAAAATTAAAAAATTGTTGAAAAATTTTTTTTAGATATTTTCGAAAATCCTTTTGTCTGATTTTTGGTATTCGTGACCGTAATACACCTACAAAATTTTATCAAAATCCGTCAAGACGTGTAAGAGAAAATTTGTCCACAAGAATCGGTGACATAGACACACACACACACATACATACACACATACATCCGGACATTTTTTCCTCTCGACGAATTATATATACTACACTTGAAAATTTGTAAAAATAATTGGTTCTAAAAAATTCGGAAATCGACATCACTATAAGGCTTCCTTTATGAGGAAGCAAAATTATTATGAATGCTAAACATGAACTTATTTTAACAAGAGCACGTTCTGATATGAATGCTATAATTCAAACAGGACAAGGCGGTGATGAAGAATTCAAAATTTTTATCAATAAACTTGAATGGATGGTTCCATACGTATTACCTGCCGATAATAATAAAATAAAACTATTAAAATTTATTGAAAAAGATCCATTAATTTCAATGAGTTTTCGATCATGGGAAATATATGAATATCCTTTACTTCCTGCCAGCTTAAAAGTTTTGTGGCAAATTAAAACTTCAACGCAATTGGAAAAACCACGCTACGTTATTGTTGGATTTCAAACAGCAAGAAAAGATAAACTAAAAAAACATGCCTGTCATTTTGACCATTGTAATATTACAAATGTTAAACTCTTTTTAAATTCACAATATTATCCGTATGGTAATTTAAACCTAAACTTTGATCAAAATCAATACTCTCTACTTTATGAAATGTATGCTAATTTTCAATCATCCTATTATGGAAAAGATTCAAAACCTATTTTAACAAAGGACATTTTCAAAAGTCTATTTCGTCTAATTGTAATTGATTGTTCAAAGCAAAATGAATTTTTAAAACAAGCCTCAGTCGATGAAAGGTTAGAATTTGAAGCAGGAAATAACATGCCAGCTGAGACTTAATAATTCATGATCGCGTCATACAATATAAACCAATTAGCGGCGTTGTAAAGAAACTTTTGTAGTGGGGATAATGTAGTGGGGAGTGGTGATCGGTATAAAAACCGATGTTTTCGAAGAGAAACTTATTTCTGTTTCAGGATGGAGTTCATCGTAGATGTTCAAGGCTTTAAAAGATCACACAACGAATTTGTTTTCAAAGAGTTGGCAATCCTTCCTCTCCAATCGGATGCTCAGCCACTCGTTTGTCTGTTTAAACCTCCTTGTGCATGGAATTCGCTGCCTGATCGTTATAAAAGTGAAAACCTTTGGTTGACACATAATTATCATGGAATTAATTGGACTGCTGGAGACATCCCATACGATGAACTTCGTTCTATTATACAAGGAATATTGCTGGGTTCTAAAGCCATCTACGTTAAAGGATTAGAAAAAAAGACATGGCTAGAGTCATATGTATTAAATGTAGTTAATTTAGAAGATTTGGACTGTCCATCGTTAAAAAAACTCGAAACGAAATTGTGAACAACAACATGTAAACATCATACTCTACATAAAGAAAATTGTGCTGCAAAAAATGTTAAACTTCTTCGAGAATGGTTTTTAAACCCTTTAAACCAATATGTAATTGCTGTCCTTAAAGGAGTAGACGAAGTTGATTCTACTTTAAAATCGTTTTATGAAAATTGTGAAGATTTTTTGTAAATATTATAATAAGTTTCTGAAAATAAACTATAGTAATAATTTGAATCGAAATACTGTATCTTAATTTAAAAAAAACCTAACCTTTAAATATACTTTAATTTACAATTATTTTATTTAAAAATTTTTTAAATTCAATAAAATAAAACTTATTCTACTTAAATAGGGATTAATAACAAAAAAAAAAGTTTTAAAACCAATTAACAAATAACAATTTTATTTATTTTTCTTTTAAGAAAATACATTTGTTTTAACAAATCTTTTCATTTTTAAATGTATTTTTTTCACTTTAAAAATTTAAATTCAACAACGTTGTAGGTTCCTCCTTGGTATTTCAATTGTAGCTGCTTTAAAGAGGCAGCTTCCTGCATCATTTTGAAAGTTTCAGCTTCTTCTTCGAAATATTTAATGAATCTCGTTGGAAGATAAGATATAAAGTCAGCGTCTAGTCTCTAGTTCAACGATGATCCTGGGTCCATATTTTGTCTGAATTTTCTTTATTTTGGTGATAAAGTATTGGCTATTCACATCCAATTCTGATAATGGTTTGGTTGGCAGGAAACCCTCCAATCGTCCAACTGCATTCACCTTGGTGAGGTCCATTTTTGAAAGAGCCTGCAACAGAAAAAAAGAAGAAACTGAAACAAAATAAATAAAAAGCCTGTAACAGAAAAAAAATAAGAAACTGAAACAAAATAAATAAAAAGCCTGTAACAGAAAAAAAAGAAACTGAAACAAAAAATTAAAAAATCCTGTAACAGAAAAAAAAGAAGAAACTGAAACAAAAATAAAAAAATCCTGTAACAGAAAAAAAGAAGAAACAGAAAGAATAAAACTGAAACAGAAAGAATAAAACTGAAACAGAAAGAATAAAACTGAAACATAACGAATAAAACTGAAACAGAACGAATAAAACTGAAACAGAAAGAGTAAAACTGAAACAGAAAGAATAAAACTTACTGCTTAATGTTGTAGGTTAACTTGAAGCGCTGAAACAGAAATGAGCTTCTCTTCTTTACACCGCCATATATCACTATACAACCCCATCCTCTTTCATTCTTTTTCCCCACTCTTCATATGCGCACGCATAATTTTATAAATACTTATGCGCACACTCATAATTGGGTTTACCACACCCAGTATTTAAACATTATAATCATTTTTAAATGAAAGGTATTAATTTTCATGTGAGAAAGTTGGTTACCTTTATATGAAACAATTTTATTTCTACCAAATATTTATGTAGAAATATTTGTGTAGTAGTAATTTTTTATGCATTAAGCCGATGAGTTCGTTGGTGAGGATGGTGGCGGTGGTGGTGCAGTGGGTGTTGTCCAATCTATGTCATCAAAAATCTCATTTACATTTGACACAGATGCTAAAAGTTCCGATATCTATGGAAATATAATTTAAAGTTGAAGTTTTAATTAATTGTAAAAATAAAAAAAAGATAATTAAAATAAATATTTTAATTAACCTCTTCATCGCTAAAGTCAATGATTAAAACATCGTCATCAACATCTTCATTTTTTGCGCTCTCGGCACTCTCGCCACTCTCCGCACTTTCAGCACTCTCCTCACTTTCATAACTCTCATCATCATCTCTAATACCATCGAAATCGTAATCGAAGAAAAAGTCATCAGTCAATGGCATGTAAACGTCGACCTTATTATATATTATTCCATTGAATAAATCATCATCATCTTCGCTGTCAATGATTATGGTTGATCCTTGACTTCCGTATATCTCAATCTCATCATCGGATTCATAGATGTTGTCCATGTTTTTTTTAATATTTGTAAATTAAATAAGTGAAGAAGATCTGAAAAAAAGATAAATGCGTTGAAAAAATAAAGTAGAGCTGAAAGAAGCAACGCATCCAATTGTCTGCTGCTTGTACCTTATGCTGCTGGAACAAAAAAAGAATGATTCGTATGTGTAGCGCGTCTTCTTTTATACAGTCTGGCCGGTCTCTCACTACGCAACTCGACCCCCTCTATGTAACACTCCATTTCACCTCTGCACAGTGCCGTACAATTCACCTATTGCACCACATTTGAATTTTGTTAAATATCTTGTTTTAGCTATATTTTATTAAATATTATTCTTTATTAATTTTGTTAGAATTAATTAATGTATGAGAATTAATTTTCAAGAAATATTCAAATACTTCTTATTTGTTTTACTATAGAAAATAAAATTTCCAAAATTTCTTTTAAAAAAAAAAATGTTTAAAATAATTAAAAAATAAATTATTTAAAATTAAATTATACTATAAAATCGAAAAATAATTATGTATTTTACTCTAACATGTGGAAGTTTTGTAAAGTTTTGAAAAAACGACATATCTAAGGCTGGTTAATGAAATATGGCAAATAAGATAAATTTTTATTTTAAAAAAACAACTGTGTTTATATAATAAAATTATGACTGTTTCTTAAAAACTAGTAACAAATAAGTGGAAAAATATATTCAACTCATGCGCAATGCATTTTTAAAATAAAACAAAAATTTGCTTTCTAAGTGAGACATATGTTCAGTTTTTTGGAAGAAAAAACACAATGAGCGTTCAAAATAAAACAAAATAAGTAATACAAACATTCACTTCATGATGAAAATAAGTAGAAAAATATAGTCAACTCATGCGCAATGCATTTTTAAAATAAAACAAAAATTTGCTTTCTAAGTGAGACATATGTTCAGTTTTTGAAGAAAAAACACAATGAGCGTTCAAAATAAAACAAAATAAGTAATACAAACATTCACTTCATAACGAAAATAAGTAGAAAAATATATTCAACTCATGCGCAATGCATTTTTAAAATAAAACAAAATTTGCTTTCTAAGTGAGACATATGTTTATTTTTTTTTGAAGAAAAAACACAATGAGCGTTCAAAATAAAACAAAATAAGTAATACAAACATTCACTTCATAACGAAAATAAGTAGAAAAATATATTCAACTCATGCGCAATGCATTTTTAAAATAAAACAAAATTTGCTTTCTAAGTGAGACATATGTTTATTTTTTTTTGAAGAAAAAACACAATGAGCGTTCAAAATAAAACAAAATAAGTAATACAAACATTCACTTCATGATGAAAATAAGTAGAAAAATATAGTCAACTCATGCGCAATGCATTTTTAAAATAAAACAAAATTTGCTTTCTAAGTGAGACATATGTTCAGTTTTTTTTGAAGAAAAAACACAATGAGCGTTCAAAAAAAACAAACATTCACTTCATAACGAAAATAAGTAGAAGAATATATTCAACTCATGCGCAATGCATTTTTAAAATAAAACAAAATTTTCTTTCTAAAAAAACAGTTTTAAAGACATATCGTCATTGAACATATTCACTTTATGACAAAAAAAGTTTTCTGAACGCTTTTTATTTTTTTTTATCTATCACCATTTTCTCTTTTTGTCCATGTGGGTCATTGTTCTCTTTATCACTATCATCCTCGCTTGAGGATGAACTTGATGAGTTTGAATCTGAACTTGATGAGTTCGAATCTGAACTTGATGAGTTTGAATCTGAATCTGATGGGCTTGAATCTGATGAGCTTGAATTTGAATCTGATGAGCTTGAATCTGAATTTTTTTTTCGTTTTTTTGCTGACTGCGATGAGCTTGAATTTGAATCTGATGAGCTTGAATCTGAATTTTTTTTTCGCTTTTTTTCTGACTGCGATGATGTTGAATGAATCGGTGAATAAATCGAAAGTGAACAAATCGGTGAGTTAATCGGTGAATAAATCGGTGAGTTAATCGGAGAGTTATTCGGAGAGTTATTCAGTGAGTGGATCGGTGAGAGAACCCTTGGTGGAATATATCCAAATAACACATTTGAAATATTTTCGTTTGACTGTTTTGGGTTTTCTTGTGACGTTGAAGGAGTTGGTTGTGTTATTTTTAATGGAATTGGGAGTATTGGTTTTAATTTTTGTATAGTGGAATTTTGTGTTAATGGAATTGAGCAGGCTATTTTACATTTTGGAATATATTCATCTTCTTTTGGAACATCCCACCTGGAAGGTCGCTTTCTTTTGGATTTGTGAACTTCTTGATTTTGTCCAGCAAGTCTTTTCTTCTTCAACTCCTTCTCCAAATGTGCAATTCGCTCTTTCAAAAGTCGCTCCTTTAAAAAGAGAATTTAATAAAGATTTATGTAAATTTAATAATGAATAAAAAAATATTATTAAATAATAATATACAAAAGTAAATATAGTTATTCATTTTTCACGAATCGAAAACAAATTGATAAAAATATGTTACGTATTTGCAAAGATTATGTAAGAAGCAAGTCAATTAACATTTGTTATTTTTTTTATCAATTTGTTTTCTATTTGTCAAAAATGAATGAATATATTTTAAGGAAAACTAAAATTAAAACTAGTTGTTGGTATTAAAACTTGATTCTTTGTTTATATTCAATTTTAAAACATAACCTACAAATTTGATTTCTATTTGTGAAAAAATAAAGAATTATAATTAAAAGTCAAATTTATAAAACAAAAAAATTTTTGACATATTTGCAACGATTATGAAAGAAGCAATTCAATTATCACTTGTTATTTTTTTTATCAATTTGTTCTCTATTTGTGAAAAATGAATGACTATATTTTAAGGAAAAACTAAAATTAAAACTAGTTGTTGATATTAAAAGTTGATTCTTTGTTTATATTTAATTTTAAAACATAACCTACAAATTTGATTTCTAAATATATTTCTTCAAACAGTATAATATTTACCTTTGTTAATGATGATAATAATGGTATGTCCTTTTCAACTCGCGACCTTTTTACTGCCAATTTATTAAAACGTGGATCATTTTCTAAAGCTGGATGAGACTTTTGACACTCGCTATTATTACAAATGCAATATATAGATTCCTCCGGTGGACCTGGAGCATAGCTTACGTTACCATAGATGAATTCTTCTCCATTATAAAATATTTCATCCATGATTCTTGTTTTTTTTTAAATAAATTTATTTTCTTTAACTATACTAAAATTTGAATGCAAGCAGTATATCACACTGAGTAGTCACTTAAAAACTGACGCCATCTTTAATATTGAGAGATACCAAGGATCGACTATACGAGGTTGGTCATTGTGATGTAAATGCATGGTTGGGTAGTACAGTAAAAAATGGAAATAAAGAAAAAAAGTATTTGTCTATTTATAATGGAAATAAAGAAAAAAAAGTATTTGTCTATTTCTAATATATCTTGATCTCAAAACTCACATAACTTAATAATAAAAATATTGAGTATAATAAATTTAAATAGCGTCATGTACACAGCGGAACCGAATTTGACTGGTAATTTTGGCGGGATATTTAAAATATCATCCTTAAACCAATAGACTTTTCATTAAAGAAATTAAAAAATTCAAATATCCCACAAAGGGATTATGAATTGTAGAAAAAAGGGACGTAATCTGCTGGTGGAAGCAACAACTAAATTCAACATGCAATTTTCATGGGAAACTCAAAATAACCCTACCAATCAACGATAATTTAGTAAATAAAATTCAAACATGCCACCAAATGGGTTTGAATTGTGCAAAAATAAAGTGGAGCCATCTACCGGTGGCAGCCGCATTTAGTTCAGTCGGTAATTTTAGCGGGATATTTGAAATACCTCTACCAAGCGACTTAAAATTAATTAATAAAAAATTTAAATATACCGCCAAGCGGTTTTTAATTAAGCATAAATAAAGTGGCGCCATCTATCGGAGGCAGCCGCAACTAAGTTCAGTCGGTAATTTTGGCGGGATATTCAAAATACCCCTACCAAGCGACTTTAAATTAAATAAAAATTCGAATATCCCGCTAAGCGTTTTAAAATTGAGAAAAATAAAGTGGCGCCATCTATCGGAGGCAGCCGTAATTCGAATGATCGGTAAAACAGAACACCCCTTCTAACGCAGTTGAAAGTTTGAAAATAAAAATTCAAATCTCCCTCCAAGGGGTTTGAAATCGTGCAAAAATAAAGTGGCGCCATCTAGCGGTGGCCGCCGCAACTAAACTCGGTCGGTAAAACAGAACACCCCTTCTAACGCAGTTGAAAGTATACTAATTATGATAGTGTAGGAATCTATATTACCGACATCGGTCGGTAATTGCGCCCGTACCCGCCTAGTAACACTACTATTAATTATTATTTTTTTCAATTAAATGATGACCAAAAGCGAATTTATAACTAATGTTAGTATATGTAGAGATTTATTAAATATTCCTCTAATATATGCATTAAAAATTATAAAAAAATTAGAAATTTGTTAATTAAATTATTTTACAATTAATTAATTATTTAAAAATTAATTAATTAATAAATTAAATTAAATTAAATTAATAAATTAATTAAAATTAATTAATTAATTTAAAAATTAATTAATTATTTTTTTATTTTTTATATAATCATTAAATTGCATACTTATACGAATACAATGCAGAAAAATCGGAATAAACGCAAACCTAAGAAGTAAATAAAATCTAACGCACGCGGGAATCGAACCTACGACCTACGGACTACGAGACTAACGCCCTAACCACTATGCTAATGAAACTAGTTGAGATCAAGATTTTTATTGTCAGTGACTTGTGGACTTGCTTTTGATGATTCAATATAGTAATTATTGACACTAATACACGATAATAAATAAAAAAAATAGTTTAACAACAACAATAATAATAAAATAATATCTAAATATAAAAATTCAAAAATTAATATTTTTATATTATATCAAGAAAAAAAATATCTATACATTTTCGTTAAAAACAGGTTTTTCATTGTTCTCAATCATTTTTAACATTAATTTTTTGGTCTAGAAAAAATATTTGTCTTTTGGACTTGGAAATTTTTCCTAATTAATTAAGCGGGTGATCTACTTTTTAAAAAAATGTCAAAAAAATTTATGTTAAAAACACGTTTTTCATTATTCTAAATCATTTTAAGCATTAATTTTTTGTTGCAAAAAATTTTTTGGACTTGGACTTAGAAATTTTTGCTAATGAAACTAGGAAGCCCAGGTAGGTCCTGGGTTGGACCTGGGTGGGTCAGCCCACATTCGAATTGCAATATCTCTAAGTGTTTAGCACCAACTTAAATGAAACTTAAAATCAGCGAACGAAATTAGAAATATATTTTACTAATGATAATTATATTGCAGTCTGTATCTGTTTAAATAAATAAATAAATTTTGCTGTTTTATTAACTTTTGTAACAAATTACTTAAAAATTTGCAGTTTTTTATCTAACTTCGCGATTATTACACTTGAGTAGTGAAATATGAAGATAATTTATAATCTTAACAATTCAGCATTTGTTTAAACAAAAAATTGTTGTTATTTATTAATTCTTAAGACAATAAAGCGTCTGGACACTTGTAGTCTTTTAAAATTTTGCAATTAACTAATCTGAGTATTTACTTATTGCAAAATTAGAAAAAACTGCTAGTTTCTAGGTTGATTGTGTAAAAAGTTAGTGAATAACAATTATTTGTTTAAACAATTGCTGAATTAATAAATTAATAAATTAACTTTATTTTATAGTATTTGTATAATTTTCTGATTTATGTCAAACAATAAATTGTTTAAACAAATATGATTATCAATTAATTTTATAAATATTAATTGAGAATATTTATCAATTTTTACATGTTTTTCATGTATCAATTTTGACACTTTATTTTCCTAAAAATTTTTCTAAGTCAATTTTTCTAAGTTTTTCTAAGTCTGGATCTCCTAGCTAGTACTAAGTTAGGACCAGTCCAAGCTAGGGCCAATAATCATTTTAGGCATAGCATGGTGATTTCTACACGGGCTGTATAATTGAGTATTACATGTTTAGTCACATTTTAGCACAATTTTGCACAAAAAATATCCCATGACTAAAATGTAAGTATAAAAATATTTTCGATATTAAAAAATCGAAAAAATTATAATTGTTATTAATTACTATCAAGCTTAATTCAGTAGTATTTTTCGGGTCTCTGATTAAGATTTTGTCATCAAAATAATGCAATTCATAATTATTCATCCAATTCATCCAATATTCTTTAATTGAAACTTAACTTCTAAAGATATTTTGAGCAATGTAAAGACAAAAGTTAAGCATGTGATATATGTTTGTTTAAAAAAATTCCTGGCGTTGTCCAAATTTTACCCGGTTTATTTTTTTAAACAAATTTAAATTTACTTGATTTTAAGTTTTAGCCATAAATAAATCTGCAGATGGCTAAAAACATTGACTTATTTTATGAAAATACTCTTTTTAAGTAAATTATATGTTATATACCAGTACCAGTTTTTGATGGGTTTTAGTTTCTGCTAAAATACATTTGACAGAGTGTCTACCAATTGCGCGGGGAAACCGATAAATAACCGGGAATTTAATTTGACCAGGAAAAACCGGGAATTTTCTTACCAAATTAAAAAAGTTTTATTATATTAATTTGTTTTTAAAACTGCTTTTTACTTTAATTTTTATTGATGTAATATTTATGTAAAAAGCCCCAAGACAAAATTTAAGCCCTACTTTTAGCTTAAACATATAGATTTTATTTAGGTTTTAGCAATCGTAACGTAGGGTTTAGATGCGACACAATTATTTATAATTAGACTCTACTGATTACTATAGTAATATTTTCCTAACGAAATAGTTGATGGTAACTAATTATTAGTTTTTCCCAGTAAAATTTAATTCCCGGGCTATTTCCCGGTTGGTACGTAGAGACACCCTATCAAATGCATTAGCTGAAACAAAAACCCGTCAAAGACGGGTCCGACAGCTAGTTTTTAAATAAAAAAATTAAAAAAATTTTTTTAAACAATTTTTTGTTTATTTACTTTTCTCTAAGAAAAATGTTATTAATATATTTGGATTCCTTATAAATTCACCTTTAATTTCATAAAAAAAATTGATGGAGACTCAACTGGGTCCGGAGATATTGAAGTTTTTGTAGAAAATAGGCCTAGTTGCAGCAGCAATGCACGACTACGCATAGTGGGACCAAACTGCAATTTACTGTTCATAATAGTCTAGAGCCTTCATTTTTTAACCGATTTTACTGTCATTTGTTTTCAATGAAAGATTATTAAATTTGGAAGAGATTTGTTGAGGCCGAATTTTAAATTTTAATTTGTTTATATTTATTTTTTTATTGCAAAGTTTAACAAAAGCATCAATTTTTAAGAAAAAGTTATCTCCAGCCTCTATAATCGAATGGCACGTGCTAAAAACTTTTTAGAAACACACCTAGAGTACTCTGTACATTGTAAAAAAATTTTGCATGTAAATATTCGAATGTTATAAACAATTTATATTAACAAATAATTAAGTTTACAACAAATTGTTAATGTGGACAAACGTTTTGATAGATTTTAATGATATTGTATACTTAAGGGTTTTTGGAGTCGCTGATTACGAATCCAATGTTGGTTTTTCAATATTCAAAATGGCGGATCCAATATGGCGGATGTTTTTTTTAAATTGATTTAATTTTGCTAAAAATCGTTACTCGGGGGTTTTTGGGGTCGCTGATTACGAATCTGTAATTAGTTTTTCAAAATTTTTAATGAATGATATAATGTGTAAGGCGCTTTTCTGAAAAATTGATTAGATGTACTTGAAACTTGTTACTCGGAGAGGTTTTTTTGGGGTTTTTAAGTATAATTAATATTTTTAGTATATCAAAATCTTTTACATTATTAATTTACAAATGTTATAAGCTCTTATAATAAAAATTAGAAGAGAAGCAGGCGCAAAACGCCTACATCTAGGGTTTCGTGGCATTTAAAAAGAAAAAAAAATTTAAAAAGAAAAACTATGGATGTTTAATTAATGTACAATAATTTCTATAAATTGATTCTCCACCAATTAACATTAACATTAATAGAGAAAAAATAGAAGCAGGCATTTACGAATCCTGTTTTGGTTATCATAAACCATTGTGGTTAA